GTTTCAGTGGCTTATATCATCATTCTTTCTGTACTAAAACTTACACGTCCTTTTTTCTTAAATAATATTCTTGTGTAAATTTTTTGTGAGCCCTAGGTTTATTTTATGACCCATAAACTTTGACAATATATTAAAATCTTGGAGGAATTTAATATCAGTAGAAGATTATCTTTAAAAAAAAAAAAAAATCATTTCTCTGTGCTACAGAGACTTAGACGTATCTGGTATGTTAAAAGGTTTAATGGCTGTTTGTAAATTTTACTGCAACTGTCAATAACTTCATAATATATGGAGCCAGTTAATAGGTCAACGGGAAATATTTATATCTGGCCATAAACTGTTTACCCGAGAATAAACTAATTTCTGATGATAATGAAACATAAAAGTCAATGAGTATTAATTTTAGTATTTTACACTAATTTCAGCCCAGTTTCACCATTTGCCAGAAACACTTTCTGAGCAGAGGCAGAAGCACTGCTGTTTCCAAGCTCTGAGTGCATCAGAAGCAATAGGACTTCACAGCACTTGGAAGCGCAAACACTTCAAATGCAAGGAAGTCTGCAAAGGTATTCCTTAGGAAACACACCTTAAAGGATCCTTTTCTCCTTTTGGATGAAGCAATTTCCAATAACACCCCCTCCTGCATGTATACAATGCAAATGAAAAGGCATTCAATGCCAGCCAATGGCTGGTGTCTCCATTCCTTGCCACCCTATGGTAGTCACAGCCCTGAGCCTCTGCATAGGTGAGGGCTGGCACACTGCCTGTGGTTTTCACATTACAAACATTGACCAATTAATTTTTTTATATTTAATGTTAGGCTTTATTAATCCGGTATTTTATTAATAGAAATTTTAAATATTTAATGCCAAATTTTCACACATAATGCTACAACTTATTAATCTACTAAATTTTATTAACATAATTTTGGTAACTTCCATTTCTCTCCTTCTCCCCCTTCCCCCAGATCAATCACGTAATTTTAAGTACATTGCCAGACCAGACTGAAAACATACAACATTGTCTCAGAGTGGGAAGCGCAAGGACCATGCTTCCCCATTCCTCCTCATTCCCTACCTGTGTGTTAAGTGCTGTGACCTTGTTTCCTCTGTTCATCCCTACTGGGGTGTCTGCAGACAGATCTGCAATCCAGCAGCCCTATGTCCTTCCCTAACGAGCTCTAATTATGCTCTATTTGTGTGCTGAGACCAGATTCAACAGCACATGACTCCACTGTTAAGAAACTCTTCCTCTGTTGCATATTCCTAAGGCACCTTATGGGATGCCATTCTGCGTATAATCTGATTTTTTCTCCTTCCAAATTAGTATCACAGTCACATAGCAAATTGGAATATGCATGTAGCTTCAACACTGATATGGCGTTTCCTTCTCCTCTTTCTGACACTTTTGATGTTGTTCCCTTTCATCGTCGTCACCGTCCTGCTTCTGCAGCAGACTTCACATCTAAGGCCTTGTGCAGGGCATAATTAGAAGCTGCAGGACCAAGGCATGAAGGTTGGGCTCTTGTTTTCCAGGCAGCAGCCCAGGGAAGGGCAGCTGGCTGCTCAGCACTCGCTGCTTGCCAGGGTTGCTGCTGATTCCACGGGGACACCCACCTTAAGGGGACACCCCCAGGCTGCCCACAGTCTGTGCATTTTACCTTGGCCACCTGGTCACCAGTGGGATGAACTTGAGGAAGACACAACCTTCCCAAAGGCACAGAGCGCCCCAAAACCTCTCCCACCTCCCTCCCAAACACAACCAAGAACTGGGAGAAGGGAAAAGTCCCTCAGCGCTTCAGCAGAGCCAAAGGGAACTCTTACACGTAACTGCTGCAAAACAGGGATGTGCTGCTCTCCCAGATAACATTTTCAATGCCCTTAGAATGATAGAAACGGAAAACTCCAAGTAATAAACTCCTGGCCTTGCACTGAGCTCTACATCTTACAACTGTGTGCCTTCTTCCACCCAAAAAGCCATTTTATCTTCATAATCTTACTACAGATGTTTTCCAGTTTGCTGTTGCATAGGCACCTTAATAACCAGAGCCCTCAAATGAGAATGGACTTATCTCAGAAAAGCACTGAGCAAATAATAGAATTTATTGCAATTGTGTAGCTGGCTGATGGAATTGCATTTGTATTTTTTTCTGGAAGGTGTCAGCATTGGGGAAAATGAACTTTCTGTAAGAAAAGTTGCATACCCTGCATCAGCACAAAAGACACAGAATCACAGACACCACCAGTCCATCCCAGCTGTCAGGACCTTGAGGAAATGACTCCAAAATGGGCTCCACCTGGGGATTCGACTTGGAGTCCTCTTATTCCCCAAGAGCCACCACCCACAGAGGGACATTAGCAGCCATGAATGAGGCTCACATTCACTGTAACAGCACTTTGTTCCTCAGTTAAGCTTGGCAGAAGCACAGCAATCGCTCCAATTGTTTGGTACCCCAGAGGATGCCACCCTTTTACCAACTCTTGTTTGGTGTGCTGGGTTCACCTGGCACTGTTTCAATGGGAAACTTCACATTTCAGCATTTTCAGGAGAAAAACATTCTCACTACTGTTAGCTCTAACAGTAATGCCAAAGGACAACGGGGGAAGAAAAAAAAAAGTGTGTTTATTTGAAACACTCCACTACAAAATGACAAAGTTCTGAGACAAAAGGTACCTCATCCTGCTGCCACCCCACTGGGCACCACACCGAGGGGGTCTCAGACACGAGTGCAATTCCTTTACAGTATCTTACATTCTGCAAAATTAGACACAGTCTACATGTTAAGGAGAGAGCATCAGATCAGCATTAGCTTTGAATTTCCTTGCTTTTGTCAGCCTCATTATTACAGCCTGGATGTTATTAAAATGCTGCTCTTCGTCTGTTAATAATCATTTCACTTCTCTATCTCTGCCACATGAACTTTAGAACACTGTGAAATGGGTTTTGTAGTTGCATGTTTTTTCAAGTTCATTGATCAAACATTTGTACATTTTAATGTTATAAATAATTGAAGAGCCTTCATTTTTCAGTGTTAAAATTAAGTTTTCTGTTCTGCCTTTTAAAACTAGAACAAGGGAAAGCGTAATTTAAGCCATGAAAAGGCTGCAAAATACGTGAAACTCTCTGTAACCCTTTTCTGTGAGCCTCTTCTTGTTTCACTTTGATTCTCACGAAGACTGAAGTGCGTGCAGGCAGCCCTTGACAGCCTCCTCCAGCAGGTTAGTAGCTAGAGGAATTCACCTATTTTCTGAGAAGGCTTTAAACACGGGGTGGGTACAAGGAGACTATTTGAAGCCACCCAGCAGGCTCAGGGAGCCTGGGCACAGGGAGGAGGGGTGCAAGCCAGGAAGAAGGGATGTTCAGATGAAGGACAGCTGCTCGTGTCTGAGTGCACATTTCCCTTCTAGGTGAACATATTAAATAGAGGTAAAGCCGCTGAATGAAAGAATCTGGAGACAACCCACTTCATGCTGGATATAGGGAAAATAAACCATAGGATTGCCTCCAGGAAGGAGGAGGGCAGCAAGACACTAACTTTATTTCCTAGAAACAGCGAATGGCTCCCATTCTTGGTGCTCCCAGAGCTTCCTGCTATGCTAGCAGTTCAATTCAAGCATCTAGGCAGTCAACTGAAGGTAGCATGAGGGTCAGTCTGCACCGGCTCCCAAAGAGGGCTGACAACCAGACAGATGAATTTGCTGCAGTTAGCGTGAAACAGCAGCGCTAATGACATCTGTCACATAAACACAGCCACAGAAGAGCAGCCTGCTAGCGTCAGGCATGAAGCCTGAGGTCTTCCACAAGATGTCTAAGCCTGACTAATTCTAGATCAAAGCCAACTTCTCAAGTCAAAGTCAATCATTGGTACTGCTGCTGGGTCAGCTGCTAACATGAATCAGCACAGAGCGAGCCTAACATTTCCAGTTTTTGGAGGAATACCACAAGTAGATTCTTATCCAAGATACACCAGACTACACCCGACATCCTTTGAGAAATTACACTGAGAATTTCCAGAGGAAGGCATTCCCATGAGAGGCGACCAGTGCTTCCTGGCTCTGGTGCAGATGGAGATGCTGTGAGAATGGACCCCAAGAATTGTCTCAGTGCAGTGAGCTGGCAAACAGCATTCAGAGCTCTTCTGTCCTGGTGGGAATATGGAGGCTGCAAGCAGAATTGATGCAGAACAGATTTGTGAGATAAGGTTTCCTGGAAGTTGGGGTGAAAACTGTGGATCTTTGCATGGGAAGAACTAAACCACGAAGACCGGATGCTTTCCCACTCCCTGACTGCTGTTTCACTCACTATGAATTTTATGAAAATTGTGTTGAGTGAAATCGAGATTTACTGAGAACACTAAGAGCCATGTTGATGGAGCAAGCTACTTGAGTGATTGCTCTGCCCAAGTTCATTTCAAAGCAAATTTTCCCAGAGCCACAACAATGCTGAGGTTGGTGACTTCTCTTCAGGGCAGAGCCCGTTACTCAACAGCAGCTTAAGGAAATGGGCAGAGACACCACCACATTAAATCCAGTTTGGCTTGAGTTGTAAGCTCGCACCAATCTGCATTCCGGAACGTATACTAAATCTGCAATTCCAGATTCAGTGTAATTGAACATCAGTCCAATTCTGCCTACAAATGGTGGACTTTACAGCAAGAAGATAACAAGAGAATTTGTACCATGACGTGGGCTTTCAAAGAGCTTTTCCCAACTGTAAACTGTGGAAACCATAACAGGAGCACAAGGAAGGTGAAATAAGAGTTGGCAAATTCTCCTATTCAGAAATTTGGAGAATTAAGAGAACAAGTTCCCTTAAAGCTAATTGCAGCTTTAATTTTTCTCTCCACCTCCCCCTCACAAAACAACAAGGGTTAAAGGAGAAAACAGTGGGAAAAAAAAATCAAAAGCATGCTGAGCCATGTTGGAATGGCAGCTAGGGCAAGTTTCTGTTCTCGATATCACACTGTTAGCTCCAGGAGATCGGCAGGAATGAAGACTTACCTCATCTCCTCAATAGATAGTTAAAGAAAAAAAAAAAAAGAAAAGCAACTTTCAGAAATTCCCCCAGGTTGAGCGTGTGTACAGTTCAGTCTTGCAAAAATCCATTGCTGTATGTGCCATGCTATCCTCCTTCTCAGAGGGAATTTGGAGAGCGCTCCAGGCAGTGATGTGCTGACAGCAGGCTGCTCTGTGCTGGTTGGATACTGTGGTCCTCACCCTGCACATCCCTTCCCTTGGAGCAATGGGTGGGAATTGGCACAGGGCTGCCTTGCCCAACTACTGGGAGGCTGCAAAGAGCATTTCACAATTACTTCTTGATGCTACTTAATGGAAAGAATTGCCTGGTGGCGCATGGCGTTATCACCCCCTCCAACAAGCACTCCAGCCTTCAACATTAATCTCAGTGTTCTCAGCATCTTCCAAGCCTCAGTCCACAGGAGAGTTTCCCTTCGCAGCGAGTGGCTTACTGCTGGGGATGGATTAAAACAAATACAAGCAACACTGTATGGTAAATTCTTCTTCTTTGTACAACAGCTGTTTTGAATGTGTTATAGGATTGAGCAAAACCTCGCTTCCATATTCAAAAGGAGCCTCAGCTTTTTCAAGAGAGTCTGGCTCCTTTGCCAGGAGTTCAGCTGCTGATATTCACTTATTTAATTCTTCGCCAAACATGCAGAATCTCTGACAACCGTTTGTTTAAATTACTTACACAACTTGCTGGTTTAATCTTTTTTCCCCCTATTAATCTGTGACCAACCATGGAATTTAATATTTTTTACCATGACTAATGTATGAAATTTGTTAGCTTTGTATGTAATTTGCAGAGAACCCTGAATAATTGAACCTTTAAGTTTAAAGGCTTGTATTTTGTTATTCTAGCTGTGATTACTTGTAATGGTTTGAAGAACCTAAGATGCTTTAGTGAAGGGTGCAAATATAAAATAGTGAAATTAACCCTAGCCCTCCTTGTTTTCCTGTCTGCATTCAGCTGTAATTGGGGGGAAAAAAAAAAAATATAGAGGAAAAAAAGAAAAAGAGTGACCATGGAACTGATGCACTGAAAGGATTGCAAGAAGCAACTTCCGGTACCTCTGCTATCAAATCGCAGCCTTCTCATTCTCAATCCTTGTTTGATACCATACTACTTGTACTGCATTGCCTACCAAGGCTCTCTGCACTGCAGTCTGATCTTTAAATCACCTGGAAAATGCATTTCAATAGCAACAATGATGATAGAAAATAATCAGCATTTTTCCACAGGCTGAGCAAGTTCCACATCCTGACATGGATCTTCCTCAGAGTCTATCACAACAGTGAAGCCCTCCTGAGCTCAGAGCTCTGCCAGTAGACCCCCAGGAGGACAGCAAGGTTTGAGAGGTGCACTTGTACAGGATGGAACCACACTTTTTCAGGTCATCCCTAACATAGACAAGCACTGCAGTCACGTTAGCAAATTGCACCATGAACCAGAAGGGAGACCCAACCAACAAGCTTATTGTCTCCAGTCACTGCCTGGGTTCTGGTACCTGAACTAAGGGACATACCAGTCCATAGTACACCCAGACTACAACTTCCTTGCCAGGAAGATGCAAGGAATCTGATTCAGAAACAGCTTGCTTGTGGACCCATAACGACCCAGTATAGCCCAAAGAATGAGCTCCGGAGGACCAATTCCTGCCCTCCAGGTGGCAGGACAAGATGGAAGCATCATGGAGCATCAGAGCAGCACCAGAGCAACACAAGCACCTGTGAGATCTCTCTCCCAACTGGGAGAAAGAAAAGAACATGACAAGCTGCTACACAAACACAGAAAAAAAGTCTTAGAAGGAAGCAGAATGCAAACTGATCTAATGGCACATTAGCCCTAAACCAGAGAAAAGCATGTAGTACAAAATGCCTTCGAACAAGGGTTTTATATATATATATATATATATATATATTCCTCAGGTCATGTTATTTCTTTTAAATATTAATCAGAAAAATTGGAAAGCTTTATTATAAAGATGACAAATGCTACTGTGCCTCAAGGAAAGGTTGTGCACAGGATGTGCAAACTCTTACTTATTTGATTCAACATGGTGACTGTGGGCTGCACTTTTAATGAGGGAAATAAAACATCTTCTTAATTGGCTATAAAAGGATGTGCACCACAGCCTTACTGAAACATTAGGCTGAATAGTTAGAACCTACTTGGTAACAATGCCTCATTTTTATTAATATTATTTTTATTGGTTGTGAAATCTATGAGTTTATCTATATTAAAGGAACAAAAGACTTTTTTTGCCAAGGCAGAAAGAAAGGATATTCCACACAGGGTAAATTGAAAACACCAGTGTACCCTATAGAGCAATAGCACTTTATCATGATTTGTACATGGGAACGTAACTTTTGCCAAAAAACATAGGTGACCTCTCTCTACCCTGTATTAATAATTACAGTATGGAGATGGAAGTACGATATGCAGGACACTCCTTTTTGCTACAAAAAAAAATAGTAGGGAGCTGTTTAAGATATGTGAAAAGGAGGCAAATCCAACTAGTAAGTGTTGACAGGCATCACATCTCATGCAATGAAAAACACATTATTGGAATTTACCCAAAACTTGGGTTTTATTCCAACCGCTCATATTAATTCCTTTAAATTGAGGAAGAACACACTCAGAACAGCCTCAATGGTCAGACTGTAGCAAACCCAGACCACTTCTCTGAACCCTGCTGTGAAACACAAGCTATCGAAATGGAGTGGCTAGACTGGATGGTGGATGACAACACCTGCACACAAAGCACAAAGGAGTTTGGGATCAGTTCAATGGGTTTTCTCATCTTTCTTTGCAGCCCCCTCCGAACACCTTCCTCTTAAAGGAAAAAAAAAACAAAGGAAGAAAGAGGCTGTGGGATCTCATTGGCTCACCTGGAAACAGAGATTGCTGTGGCTGCTACCAGCCTCCCTGCATGAGTCTGAGCATCCGGCACATCAGCCCGGACATTGAATTTAATAAATAAAAGAGCACCCTCTGGAACAGAGAGCAGAATTCCAGAAAGCATCACCTAGGGCTGCTCTGGCTTACAAATTTATGTTGAAATCTGTTAGCGATTGTGTTCATAACAGCTTTTATAAAGCACTATAATTTACAATTTTAAACTTGACATGTGAGTGAGCTTCCTGGATTACACAGCACCACTGCTTTTGTCCCCAGAAGGCAAAGCAGGAAGAATGCTCCCAACTTTCACAGCTTGCTTCCCGCAGTTTCATATCCTTAGGCTTACTGAATCCCAAACCAGAAAGAACATCACCCACGGTGGATACACACAGAGAGCAGAGCAACAGCAGCTTTGGATCAAGCATACGTGATGAAGAGTGCTAACTACAGCTGCACAAGGGAAGGCTGTCTGGAGCAAGAAGAGTGGGGTTTTTCTTCCAAAAGCCAAGGGGAAATTCACCTTCTTCATGGCTGAGACCTGTCAAGGGACCAGGCAAGAGCAGCCCAAGATGCCCAAATTATGAGGGTCTTCCTTGCATCAACCCCAACAACAAGAATCCTGCAGCGTTTTCCCATCACACAGCAGATTGCACTACTGAAATTCCTTATTCTGAATTTTGCTTGGGTGATTTTTGTCTCACTGAACCTTTCCTCCCTAGGAAAATGCTAAACTAAAGCAGACAAGAGCAGACAGTGCCTGGACCAGACAGGTTCTCTGCATGTTCTTGCTGAGATAATGATCAGGAGCCTTCAGGAGAAGGAACCAGCAAGCTGAAGCTGGAAAACACACTGAGGAAGATAACAGCTCTTTGTACTGGGGCTCACCAGCACCTGCTGAAGTATCTGATCAGACTTACCCTATCCAAAGGTGCACTATTTGTTCTCTGCAGCCTTGTAAAATGGGAGGACCACTAAAACTTGGAAAACAACTAGCAGTATTGTGAAACACAGAGGGAGTAGCTGAAGACTACTCCTAACTTCAAGATCTTGAGAGTTCTTTTCTATGTCTGTTCCAGAAACACCACAAGATTCAATATTTGCAATTATGAACGAGTATTTTCACGTGTCCAGTCTCAGCAGCAGTTATTCTGATAATAATTCATTGCTAAAATCAACACTCAAGTTCACTTCATCCTATTTCCAGCAATTAAAGCTACTTCAAATAGGGAATTTTAATTTGAGAAGTATAATAAATGTCATTCCTGTAACACGTACATTACTGTAATCTAATGTGAGTAAGAAGTCACTTGAGATGGAGACACGCACCAGCCCCTTTAGGGCTAGTGCCATAGCAGAGGCAACAAAAGGGAAACCGTCGTTAATCCATTGGAAATATCATGTTAATAAATGAAAATGAGATAATGACTTTTGTGGCTAGCTGAATCTTGTCTAAAGCCTCTTATGAGCTTCATGTGTCTCAATTAGAGACTATGTTACAAGGTAAAAAAAATCAGCTGGAGGCTGAACACAATAAAAAACAAAGTTAAATAAGGAAATGTACTCTGTATTATTATTATTGCAACCTTATTGCCTGACCTAGAAGTTTCTCATTGTTGGAATCCACCCTGAGCTCCCATTATAGCTTCTAATTGGTGTTTCAGGAGCTGCTCCCACAATGCAAGACAAGCATGACTGCAATTTGCTTCTATTCCCCCCCCTA